ACAGTACTTGGTGTATTTCTTGAAGCCCCAGAGCCTGGAGTCATTTGATTAGCTAAATCTCAGCTTTAATTTAAAATGTAAGCTTCTAGCTCTCAGGATAGCAAAGAAAAACTTACAAACATGATTCTAGTAACTCAAAAACCAGAAGGGAAAAAACACTCTAAATAATAAAACTCCCTGTACCCCCTCAAAAAACCCACAGGACCTTTGGGAATCTGATTCATATTTTTGAATGCCTAGCAATTACAGTATTGATAAAAAGTCTCCAAGAGGTAGCTGTGTTAGTCTGTAATTGAAAAAATTTAAAAAACAACTAGTGGTCCTGCAGCATCTTAACGACTAACGAGAAGTAGATGGTATCATGAGCTTTTGTGGGCACAACCCACTTCTGAAAGCTCACAATACCATCTACATTTCTGTTCATCTCTAAGGCTGTGTCCAGACTCGAGGGTTTTTTCGAAAAAAGTAGCCTCTTTTCAAAAAAACTTCTCCTGCGTCTAGACTACAAATTAAATCGAAAGAACGCGGCTTTTCTTTCGACGGCGGAAAACCTAATTTCACGAGGAAGAACGCTTTTTTCGAAAGTGCTCTATCGAAAAAAGGTGTTCTTGAATGCAAACAGGGCTTTTTCGAAAGAGAGCGTCCAGACTGCCTGGGTGCTCTCTTTCGAAAAAGCGGCTTGCTTTTTCGAAAGAACTGCTTGCAGTCTAGACGCTCTTTTTCAAAGAGGCTTTTTCGAAAGTATCTTTCGAAAAAGCCTCTTTCAAAAGAGGCTTGCAGTCTAGATGTAGCCTAAGGTACTGCAGAACAAACACTCACTAGTGAGGTTGTTTTCTAATTTGGAGTATTGGATCTTTTAGGGAAACTTGGGGTTTATTCCCAGCTCTGCCGCTGTCCTGCCAAGTGATCCTGTTCCTGAGGAAGTAATTTCCATTCTTCATGCCTCTATTTACCTATCTGTAAATGGGGATAAAGAAACTGACATCCTTTGTAAAGTGCTTTGAGTTCTATGGACAAAAAGGTTTATGTAAAAGCTAAGTATTAATTTTTGTTATCCTGGATTTACTTTGGTCACATTTTTGGAGTTTCTAATGAGCTTCCAATGACTCATGCAAATAAGAGGGAGGAGGGTTGCATGTACATCCAGTTAAAATTAATTCTCTTGAAACACTATGCTTTAAATAACCCCAAATTCAATACTTGTTTGTTTCAGTTATTAACACAGTTTAATTCACATGGTTTGTGAATTTGGCAGTTGATGGAGGCAAACTAAAGAAAGGAAACAATCTCTTATGAAATCAAAGCAACGGAACCAGTATTTTGAAATTTGAGCTGTTCATGCCGCAGTCTAAGCACTCAGGCCAGCCAGGGAGGAGGCCCCTTCAGTTTATTAGATGACGCAGCAATTCACATCCCTTTTAGACCTTGGTGGCAAATGCTTAGTGATTGTCCGGGGTGAACAACATTTTCACAGAAATACATAAAAGTAAAACTTTGGCGCTATGGTCCAGTGACATGACCCTATGCTGGACAGAAAGAGAAGATTTACTGAGATTTTTTTAAAAGACCTATGTGAACAGGATCCCTAGGATGCAGCCTTGGACGGCAAAATAGACAACTCTTGAACCCAGCATAATTTGGTATAAGAGCCTGGAGGCGGGGGGTGTTCTGAGGAGGTTTCCAAGGAAAAATTTTCCTCAAAACAAAATGAAATCAAAATAAAATGTGGAGGGAGCGAGAGAGAGCCCCTGTGGGGCAAGCCCCATGAGGGGAAAGCAGGAGGCAGCGAGCCTCTGCTTCTCTGCAGCTCCGCGGCAGATCGCAAAAAAAAAAAAATCTTCATTTTGTTTCCCTTGTAAGGTAAAAGGGGAAGCGGTTTCAGGCTAAAGCTGACTAAAATCTATGATAAAAAGGCTAATTATCTGTCTGAGGAAGCTAAATGCAGAGTGCACTGCGGGTTCTAAGCGATGCCGCCGGAGGCAGAGAAGGAACTGAAGGGATCGTAGGGTGCACATGCACATTAGCTGTCCGGCGCGTGGAGTGTGCTGTGCATGAGCGAACTACCTGTCACTAGCCCTGCTACTGAAATCTTCCGGCCAGGTGTGCTGCAGCATCCAAACACCTAAGGTGGAACACCGACAGGGACACTCCTCAAAGAAGAACTAAGGGTACGTCTACACTGCACGCTTATTTCTAAATAAGTTATTCTGGAATAGTTATTTCAGAATAGCTTATTTCTAAATAGCATGTCTATACTGCAGCGTAGCCTCAAAATTAGTCCAAAGTGTGCTTTCCTAATGTAGACATGCTATCTCGATTCAAAGTCCATGGAGGTGCTGGGGACGAATAACTTAGAATGGCCCTAGTGAGAGACTATTTTGAAATAGCAGCAGTGGAATGTCTACACACGCCTTATTTTGAAAGATCTGCTATTCCTCATAGAATGAGGTTTACAGATTTCGGACTAAGCCAACTGTTATTTCGAAATTATTTCAGAATAATGGAATGGATATGTAGATGCTTGCATTGTTATTTCGAAATAACACTGGTTTTATCTCGAAATAACGGTGCAGTGTAAATGCACCCTTAAGATTCCGTCTTTGGTGCTGAACCACATGAATGTTAATACAATGACCCAAGATAGAATTTCTGCATGTCTGCTTTTTAAACAACCTAGGAAACTATACACAAAAAGCTACATTAAAAGAACATTATTAAAATGTAAAAGTCCAAGTACTTAAAAGTTATGAAATGCTAAAATTAATGCTGCTCTTGCAACCTTAATTTGCCTCATTCAGTGGACAAGATGAATGGTGGTTCAATTAATGAGCTGCTATTCAATATTTTGTTTTCTCCTCAGTAGTCAAGGTATAGCCCTGGACTTGGTTTACTGTTCACTAGATCCCCGTGTTTTTCAAAAATACCTAATAATACCCAGTCAACTGAAAAATAACATATTAAACAAAGCCCCCAGCCCATAGGGTCTCTGTACCACTCAGGTTTGGCCTGGCCAACTCACTGTCATGGTGGCTGGGCTAAACCTGAGCAGTGCTGTGCATCTATGCATCAGGTTGCAATGCCCCAGAGTGGTGAGCCAGATCCAGCCCTGTGGGACAGGAGCCACCACTGTGGATTCATGTGTGTAGGCTTGCTCTTCAGTCCTCCTGGAGCCTTCACCCTCCTTCCCCAGAAGCTGTCTGGCCTCCCATGGCCTCCCACCAAATGGATAAAATGAACTAACATGAAATTTCCCCAAAAATTGTTTAAAAAAAGGAATGTCATGGGGCTCTACTACACAATATTCAAACTCTGAAGACAGAATTATTAACTTCCTTAAGGATTTTCTAAATTGCTCTCCACTATAGTATCTGAGCTCTTCACAAACTTATCTTCACAGTATTTCTGCGAGGAAAGGAGTTGGGATTATCTCCACAGTCAGTGGGTATGCTAGACAGAGGAAGGCATTGCCTTCCCAAACTTCCAGCCTGGCCCCACCCATACTCCATCCCCAGAACACCTCCCATAGGTGCACTGGGGGCAGAGAGTTGCTGCCCCTCACTACATGCTCTCCTTGTGCTCCAGGGCCAGGGAAGCTGGGCCACATACCCTCCTCCCTCCCCATGCTCCAGGGCTGGGAAGGGGGCTGGAGCCGCACGCAGCCCTCCCTCCCCATGCTCTGGGGCCAGGGAGGCTGGGGCCGTGCACTGCCCACCTTCCCCATCCTCCAGGGCCGGAGACGTTCAGGCTGCTCATCGCTCTACCTGTCCATGATGGGGGCGGGACCTGGGCAGAAGGGGTGGGGATGAGGATGGGATTGACACTTGCCTCCCCCAGCCCTACCTTCACCATGATTATCTCCATTTCACAAATGGGGATCAGAAGCACAGAGATTAAAGTGTGCACGCATACTGGATGTCCAGTTTCAGACCCATTGGGCCCAATATCTCAGAGTACTAATTCACCATTACACAGAATTTAAAGCACAGCTAGAATGACTTCAGTTGCAGCTGTGGGTGCTCAGCACTTCTGCACATCAGTCTGCAGAATCACAATGAATGATCATCAGTGAAAAATCTGGTTGAAATAACTTGCCCAGAATGAGGGTATGTCTACACTACAAAGTTAATTTGAACTAACAGACGTTAGTTCGAATTAACTAGTTCGAATTAAGTGGCTACACAGCCCTTAATTCGAACTAGGTGTTAGTACTCGTAGAAAGAGGTTTACCTAGTTCGAATTAAGTGGCTACACAGCCCTTAATTCGAACTAGGTGTTAGTACTCGTAGAAAGAGGTTTACCTAGTTCGAATTAAGTGGCTACACAGCCCTTAATTCGAACTAGGTGTTAGTACTCGTAGAAAGAGGTTTACCTAGTTCGAATTAAGTGGCTACACAGCCCTTAATTCGAACTAGGTGTTAGTACTCGTAGAAAGAGGTTTACCTAGTTCGAATTAACTAATTCAAACTAAGTTAGTTCGAATTATCGCTGTAGTGTAGACATACCCTGACAGAGCAACTCAAAACCTGTTTAGTGTTTTATACTAAAGCAAGTATATGCCTTTAAATATGTTCAAGGAAAGTATTGCCAGTCCCAAGCATTCAAAAATCTTGCATCAGACCTCCAGAATCATAAAATAGTCTTCAAAATCATGAGACTTTTAAGATATTATGCTCAGTAGGGGTGTTTGGCCAGTTTTAGGCATGGTGTCTGAGTATTCTAAGGTCACATTTTCAAGATTTTCTCTAAGAGGGCTAGAAACTTTTTTTAAAATATAAAAGCCCAGATTCTCGTTTAATACGCTGATTCTAGTATATGATACTTTATGAAACACAACAAATATTGTGAAAGTCACAATCAAATAATGAGAGTTAGCAACACTGCAAGGATCTACTGGGTAAGAATGTGCTAATTTCACAGATACTTTTCAGGGTAGAATTTTAAAGCCAACATTTTCATAAGTGTCCATTAACATTGGTTGCTACAATGTTTGGGTATCCTACCAGAGATCCACATGGTCCAACTGTCAAGAGATTCTGAGCAGCCAGAATTCCTGGTTCTCTGGATCCACCAGTCTGTGCTTAGGAGCTCTGAATATCAGGCAATAGGTGACCGTCATGGAGTATCCAAAGTTAATAGACCGTACGTTGGTGGGGTGACTTTGCAAACCACAATAGCAGTTAGTGTTCTGTAGAACATAAGAAGTCACGCTGGGTCAAACCAAAGGTCCAGATAGCCCAGTATTATGTCTTCTGACAGTGTCCAATACCAAATACCACACAGGGAATTAACAGAACAAGTAATAATCAAGTGATCCACCCCGTCGCCCATTCCCAGTGTCTGAAAGAGTCGAGGGCAAGGGTGGGCAATAATTATTGGGGGGAGGGTGAGTCAGCATGGCCTCCCACTGACCCAGAGGAGGAAACTCCCACAAAACCCCCTTAGTGGGCAGTGCCAGAACCACACAGCCCCGCCCACAAGAAACAGGAAGTCAGGGCTTCGAGTGTAAGAAGAGCAGCTCCAAGCTCAGTTAGAACTCAGATGCGTAGCAGGGCAGAAGCTCATCCCCAGCCCCAGCGGAGGAAGACCCTTCCATGCTGCCCTCAGAGGGAGGACAAGGTTGGGCCACCCAGGCCACTGCCAGGTCCTGAGCATGGGCTTAGACTGCCACGGCCACTACCAGACCTGGATCATTGAACAAGGCTGCGGAAGCTGCTGCCTGGACCCACAGATTTTACCCGGACCCCCAGGACCCTTGCTAGGCCCAGCCAAGTAGACTGAACTGCACAGACCCTTACCTGCGTAGGACCCTGAGCCTATGGACACGCTGCCAGTACCTCTGTCCCCAGCTGACACCGAGGAGCAGCAGCTGAGCCAGGTAGGCCCCCAGGGGGAACAGGGACGTGGCCCAGGGACAACCGACCCTGGGGCGGCTGAAGAAATGGAGGTTGGCTGGGCAGCACGTTGTGGCCTGGACCCCCGCAGACCCACCGACCTGGACAGCGCGTTATGGCTTGTAGCCCCAACTAGGGTTACCGGGTAGCTTCAGAAAAAATACTGGACACACTTGATCGGGGGAGGAGGAGGGGGGGAAGATGGGACCAGCCGGGAGGGGAGCGGGCCTTGCTGGAAGGAGGGGGGGCGGATAGCAGGGCTGGAGATGGTATGGGGTCTGAGAGGGAGTTTGTATGAAGGAGGGGATTGTTACCTGGATCAGGGGATTAGATGTTGGGTCAGGGAGGAAGTATGGATGCAGGAGATGATTCTGGCCTAGGGGAGGGGTGTAGGAAGGGTTACAGGTTCTGGGAGGGAGTTGGGACCTGGGGAAGGGGGGTACAAAGGGTTTGGGTGGTGACCTGGGGAAGGGAGATGGGGAGTAGGAGGGCCTAGGGTGCCAGAGGCAGGCTTTGGCTGGGAGGTGCTTACCTAAACATCTCCCAGCCAGCAGCCCTGCAGCACCCCCAAGGCAGGCTGGGCTCCCTGCCTGCTACAGCCGCAGATGGCCTGAAAATGCAGGCTGCTCCCTCCGTGTCACTCTCTGCTCCGGAAGAGGGGAGAGGCTTGCGCTGCCCCTGTCCCCCCACAGGCCTATCTTTGAACTCCTATTGGCTGGTTGTTTCCAGCCAATAGGAACTGAGAGATTGGCTGAGGTCAGTTCCTATTGGTCAGTTGTTTTCAACCAATAGGAGCTGAGAATCATAGAATCATAGAACTGGAAGAGACCTCAGAAGGTCATCAAGTCCGTCCCCCTGCTCTAGGCAGGACCAATCCCAACTAAATCAACCCGGCCAGGGCTTTGTGAAGCCAAGACTTAAACACCTCTAGGGATGGAGACTCCACTACTTCCCTAGGTAACCCATTCCAGTGCTTCACTACCCTTCTAGTGAAATAGTTTTTCCTAATATCCAACTTGGACCTCTCCCACCACAACTTGAGACCATTGCTCCTTGTTCTGCCATCTGTCACTACTGAGAACAGCCTCTCTCCATCCTCTTTGGAACCTCCCTTCAGGAAGTTGAAGGCTGCTATCAAATCCCCCCTCACTCTTCGCTTCTGCAGACTAAACGGACCCAACTCCCTGTAGCCAGACAGGAAACCCACCCCCACTTCTTGCTTGCCTGGAGCATACAGGGCACACACAGAGCAGTAAAATCAGCATAGTCTTTGAAGCCTTGACAGGAGGCCCGGATATGCTAGCTCACAGTGACCCTGGATGGCTGTAAACAGAGATACGCCAATTGCTGACCTCGAGGCTGCGAGAACTGCCTTGGCTGGCACCTATATTAATACGAACATTAATATAGGTCCGCGGGGGGAGGAATCTCCCTCCCAGTAAAGAATGTCCAGTACTCACAATTTAGTTATCTATCTTGCAAGTGTAAATTAACTTGAAACTCCCTTGTAAGAACTGGCGTCACAAAGACGGACCAACACGGTCTGGCACCTTAGATAAGACAGAGGATATGGGCCCCTATGGGTATAAGGATGGGCCCAGCAGCACACTTACTCTGAGTGTCAATCTACCATCTATCTGCTGATCGGGTTAGGTGATTGGCCTCCCGAGGTTCCACGGGGACGCCCACCTCATATTCGTCTTTCCTAGGAATTGAGGGACTGGCCCTGGCCTGATACGCTGGAGTCGAGAGGCACAGAAGGGGGTAAAAATTGTACCGGGATATGTCCTTTGTCTTAAGTGTACACATAGACTTAGAGCTCTTTAAAGATTAAGCTGTCACTTGGTACCATTATTTCTATTTTCTATCTTTATTTTTTTTGTAACCATTTTTAAGATCTATATTTGCTAGCAGTTAAGCAATAACCATTGTAACCATATGATTTAGAAGTCTTTTTAATAAACCTGTAATTGTTTAAGCTTTAACCTGACTCCTTCAGTTGCTGTAACAGAACCAAGCACAATTTAAAAAGAACTCCAGCCAGTCATAGGGAGCAGACGCAGGCAGAGCTGGGCGTTTGGATCGTGTCGCCTCCAGGGGACAGATCCGTGGGGCACCTCTCAACCTTCCCTAGGCTGCCCACTGCGAAGGGATCATGTGTCCTAACAGTCGAAGTCTGAGGTGTAATAAGCTCTCCCTGTAAACTCTGGGGCGTCTGTCAGCTTGTTGGCTGCCCGCCGCGAAGGGACCCCGGATGTAAAACTTCTCTCCTCATAAGTCATATGCTCCAGCCCCCTAATCATTTTGGTTGACCTCCACTGGACCCTCTCCAATGCGTCCACATCCTTTTTATAGTGGGGGGCCCAGAACTGAACACAATACTCCAGATGTGGCCTCACCAAAGCCAAATAAAGGGGAATAATGACATCTCTGGATCTGCTGGCAATGCTCCTATGAATGCAACCTAATATGCCATTAGCCTTCTTGGGTATAAGGGCACACTGTTGACTCATATCCAGCTTCTCATCCACTGTAACCCCCAGATCCTTTTCTGCAGAACTACTACTTAATTGGTTGGTCCCCAGCTTGTAACTATGCTTGGGATTTTTCCGTCCCAAGTGCAGGACTCTGCACTTGTCCTTGTTGAACCTCATCAGATTTCTTGTGGCCCACTCCTCCAATTTGTCTAAGTCACTCTGGACCCTATCTCTGCCCTCAAGCGTATCTACCTCTCCCCCAGCTGAGTATTGCGCTGATACAGGGAGATCACACAAAACAGCTCCCTCAGTCCAGGGCAGAGAGATACACGGAAACACAGGCTTGAAACAGTGGCTGCTGTGTGCCTGAGGATCCTGGCAGGGTTTCTGCAAGCCGGATCCTGTGGTTTGAAGGGCCAGAAACATATCTTGCCTACCTATGGGCTAAGGACACCATCCCTGCCCATCTTGTCTAATAGCCATTGATTGACCTGTCCTCCACGAATTGATCTAGCTCTTTTTTGAACCTTGTTATAGTGTTGGCCTTCACAACATCCTCTGGCAAGGAGTTCCATGGTTTGACTGTGCATTGTGTGAAGAAAAACTTATTTTTGTTTGTTTTAAACCTGCTACCTATTAATTTCTTATGTTACAGGAAGGAATAAATAACTCTTCTTTATTAACTTTTTCCACACCAGTCATGATTTTATAGACCTCTATTATATCCCCCCTTAATTATTTCTTTTCCAGGCTGAAAAGTCCATGTTTTATTACTCTCTCTCGTACAGGAGAGGATCTTTATAAATCCAAATACAAAACAGGTTATATAAGCATAAACAGACATGGACAAACACTTATTCCAGTTGTGGCTCAACCTATCTGATACTATCCCATCTGAACAGGGAGCCTTGACTTGTCCCTGGTATTCTCCTCATCCTGTTTCTCAGGCAGCATTTTTTATCATTCTGCTGCTGCCCTGTGTACTGGGGACCAGTAAAATGCAGAGAGAAGGACAGTAATGTGTGATAAGTGGAAGCAACAAACCCTGTATATGAATGACCCTTTCTTGTTTTTCTATTAGAGCAACACATTTGCAAAGTGGCCTCAAACCAGCTTCTAGATTTCAAGCTAAATTTTTTGCACATGCCAAAAACTTAGATTTGTGTGAACAAACACTTGTGTGCCAAAAACAGGTAGATCTACAGCTAACAGCCCAGCTAAAGAAACAGATCCATATTTGAGGGCATGTGTGGTGGCGCACACACTCCACGTCACTGGAGTGACTACAACTCAGGGTGCGGATGCCACCACCTTGGCCATGGGGCAGTTGGCCATCTCAATAATCCGTGAAACTTTCCTAGTCTCTGGGTAACCTTGAGTCCACAAGCAGCATGGCCCAATAGCCCTTACTTCAGAGTAATATGGCTTACTAGCCAGAGTCAATAAATGTCCACCTGTCCAGGGCAATATGGCTCACCATACTGTGAGAAGTACTTACCTCAGGGTAGAGAGGCTTGCTAGCCAGAGTCAGTAAATGTTCACTAGTCTAGGGCAATATGGCTCACTAGCCAAAGTCTGTAAGTAGTCTGTACTTCAAGGTAGTATGGCTTACTAGCCAGAGTCAGTAAATGTCCACCCATCTAGGACAGTATGGCTCACTAGCCGGAGTCCACGAATGTCCCTTACTTCAGGGTAGTATGGCTTTCTGTCCCAAGTCACTAAATAGCCCTCAGTCCAGGGCAGTTTGGCCCAATAGCCAAGGTCAGTGCGGTTGGGGGTTAACACCCTGGTAGGGGGACCCAGGCCCACGCTC